CCCCCCCAAAACCACCACCAAAGAACCAAGGGGAAAATTTGAAAGGAAAACGGTTTCATGCACACGCGTGATTTGCTGACATAATTTATTGGTATGCCTCCTATTTATGCCGGCTCTAGACCAATCAGAATGCGACAAAATTCACAATTGTGAAAAAAACAAAAACGATCCTTAAAATTCGAGAGCAGATCAGTATATCAATCCAAAAAACCGCTTGCTGACAGCAACTCGAGTGGGTTACAATTCAACCAAGATGAAGCTGATCTGTGCCGGTCTGTCCAAAACAGGAACCACGTCCATCGCTCATGCACTGCGAATTCTAGGCTACAAAGTCTGTCGTTGCCATGACCAGATCTTGTACTATATGGACGAGTGGTTAGATTTGTACAAACATGGTAAGGTACCCGATTTCTATGCCATGTTCAAAGATGTAGACGTTGTGATCGGTAGTCCATGCAATTTCTTCTTTGAGGAACTGATGGAAGCATTTCCAGACGCTAAAGTAATTCTTTCTATACGAAGAGATGAAAACGCTTGGATCAAAAGTTTCAAGAATCATTTTGCTGTTTTAAATAATTCGTATCTTACAAAGATGCAATGCTTGCTTCCAACATACAAGAACCTTTTATGCATACTAACTTATGCGTTAATGTCAACGGTGGGGACTCCTGAACCAAATTCATCGTACATCTGTCGCAAGCGATATCGCTGGCACAACGATCGAGTCAAGTCTCTAGTTCCTGCAGACAAGCTGCTTGTCTACAGTGTTGAACAAGGATGGGAACCATTGTGTGAGTTCACTGGCCAGAAGATCCCAGACCAGCCATTTCCACATTTGAATATCAAGGGAGAAATTCAGCTGACATTCGAAACAGAAACCGAGTTGGGGAGGAAAATAGCACGAGAAGTTAGAGTTGTGAAAGTGTGTTGTGTAGCGGTGATGGTGGCTCTAATTGGTGTGGTTTTGATCTACTTGTTTACACTATTTTAATCGAACTTTGCAACTTAAAATGTAAGACGACAAAAAAATATGCAAATCTTTGAAGGGGTCACTATTTTATGTGTGTGTAAAGTTAGTGTTAATCAAACACTTCTCCTATTTGTTTTTTTCTTCATTAATGGGGAACAAAATACTGAATGCTTGCTATTGTAGATACTAAAGGTATAAGAACCATTACAGCCTGACATTGGGAAAATAGTGGTTCTTTAATGCGGGTTTTTAATGCATGTATCACATGCCGTGTTGAGCTCGGACAGTTTCCGTGACGAGAGTAAATGCAAAATTAAGGAGTACGATTCCTGGAGAAAAGGAACCGTATTTTGCATGTACATCAAACAAAACTCTTTTAAAATTAAAAGCACTTCTGTAGAGACGGACAGGGCCTTATGTAAAGTCCTGCAGAAAACTATAGGAAATAGTACTAGTTATTTTCTACAGAAAAGTGAATGCTGCGAGTCATGTATACGTAAGTGAAAGTGTGAAAATTTAGACCGTACTATGTTTTTAATTTAAAAATTTGTGTAGACATGAAAATTTCGAAATGAGAATGTGTGACAACAAATGGTCAAAGGTAAATTAATTGAAAGGCATAATTTTTCTAATGTATGTCATGAATAATTGGTTTGTATGATATTTATGTTATATAAGAGCTCAAATGTACATAGAAGTCAAAATACCGCACATTAGATGTACGAGTCCGCTCAGTAGTATTTTATCCTCACTGCATACTCATTACCGAGGCACGGGAATGAAGATATGGAAGGTGACCGCGACTGCTGGCAATGAGCATGCGAAAAGCATGCGATGCGTCATCAACCGCCACCAGGGGAGGTGGGTGGGGTGAATCTTACTCTCTCCATAGGCAGCTTTCGACGGAGTGATTCAAGGATCTGGGTGTGGCGCTTATATTTGGAGGGTCGCAAAGCATTACACCCGCACTGCGCAAACTCCAATGTCCATAAATGGGGTGTTGGTAAATTCCTACGTGACACGCTAATTATGTATGCAGTGAGAATAGATGTCATATAGTACAACTGGTACAAGATGGTACAAACGTAGTACAAAGGCAAGCAAAACGCTGTATCGATGCAATCTCGTACCCAGAGCCCACGTTCCTCATGGTCAGCACCGAGAAACGAGGGGCTCTGGTTGCAGCCGATTTTCAGTTGGTCCGTGAATTTCGAACCGGAAGTTTCAACTGCGCATGCTTTAATCACAGGTAAGCTGATGTTTGGGTTACCTTTGATCTTCAGGGATTCAAATTGCTTCGAACAAACGGTAATCAATTTTTGACCTTTTTAGCTTGAATATAGTAGTTAAATTATTTATCCTTTGCCTCATTAAAGTTTACTTAGTAAGTTTTTCCCCCGGGTACTAATTGCTTGTGCTATTTTGTGAGTTTTTAAAACGTTTTTTTGAGTTCAAATCATCACGACAAAATGCAAGAGCGATCGGCCGCAAACTCGACTCACACTAATCCTCGTGAAAATTTGCTTAAATTCCAGTCTCCTTCTCATCTACTTCGGGTATGCGAAAGATTGATTATCTTACCACATTCTAGCAAATTTTGAGTTCGATCCAAGCCAATTTAGCGCTTGAAAAGTCCACTTATTTCCTGATATTTTCGAGTCTGTTAGCCATTTTATTTCCGGAACGACTCTATCTATTGTTTTTCCCCGGACCAATAGGAATGCTCAAAAAATCGGTTACAACCAGAGCCTCTCGTTTCTCGGTGCTGACCAAGAGGAACGTGGGCTCTGGGTACGAGATTGTGTATCGATGCTGTATCATATTTCGACGCATGATCAGATGCAAATCATCCTCTGAACACGTCAGTCACGGGCGCGTAAGAAATGTCGCTATGGACATCTCAAGAATGTGTTGCCATCGCTTGTTGAAATTACGAAAATCGAGATTCACTGTGGTTCTATATAAATGCGCAGTCACACTCGGCCACATCCTAAACAGGAACACCGTCACCATTAGTACTGTATTCTGTTGCTAACCCATTATATTTGTGATTGGCTGTCATCATATCGTCAAACATCCAATAATATACGGCACTGATATCACGTGACGTTAACTGAAAACGTTGACCGCGAGGTTAGTGGGATATGTTTGTGCCTACGTACTTAGTGGCTGCGGATTGATGAAAGAGTAGGCGCTTTCTTCAGTAGAGAGCTAGTTTTAAGCCTAGTTTTGTAACAATTATGAAGGATATAGGTAATCAACACAAACAAGAGAAAAGAAATGCTTCGAGAGAGAGAATCAGCCATTTTAGTGCTCAAAGAAAGATATGTGTGCTTTAGTTTCAAAATATCTTTCAAAAAGCACCGACTGCAAAGATCAAGCGTGAGCACGAAGCGGCAGCTTGATGAAAGAGGAAGCGCTTTTTGAAGGAAATATAAACACAAATAGGAAAAAGAAAAATGATTCTCTATTTTAGTACTCAAAAAAAAAAAAAAGAAACCTAATCAAGAAGAAGGATTCCCCTCCCCACACCACACAATATTGACTCACACGTAATTTTTTCAACCATTCTAATAAAGCACACTCCTAAAACGAACATTAACGCACAAGAAGCAGAATAGCCGAAACGTCATTGCTTTTTAAAAGAGGAACAAAGCTTTCTTTGAATGTAACGTCCAAGGCCGAAGATAAAACATGTTATTTTCCAAAAAGTGATTTTTTCGGTACATAATATACTTCACTACAAATATTAGCGATACAACATCATAACGCTGTTATATATCGGTAATATATAGTTTGAAGTAAATCTATTTTACTTTCAATTGTTATTCATGAGGTTTCATTGTTGCTATGATAATTACCACTTGTTTAGAGATGATTAGTCAAAGATGTTCAAGCAGCTGTTGTTTGTTCATCTTTGTGACAAAGTCATTAACATTCACACTTTCATTGTGAATCATGACATCTTTCATGGTGTTTTTACTAGTGAAGCTTCTTCTCCTTTTGGAGTTGCATCGAGTTAGTGGTCAATATGCCCCTATCATGCGTAAGTCAATTTCAAATATTCTTTTCTTTTGCATCAGTTTTAGCTTTTGAAACTTTCAATTTTCGAACGGAAAAAAAAGATAAAAGATGGCAGACTGCTCACACCTAATCTTTCAAACAGTACTAGATTTGTTTGCACTGAATATTTTTAAAAAAAACAACACTGGAAACAGTATGATCGTTTTCTATGTCTATTGTTTTTTGTTGTTGTTGTTGTAGTTGTTTTGTTTTGTCTGTTTTTTGGTTTTGTTTCTTGTTTCTTGTTTTTATTGTTTATTAGGAACTATTGTTGCACTGTTTTATAAAAAAGCCGATATAGAGCAAACGGTTTAATTGCTCTCCAGACATTCTGCTCTCCAGAGAAGGATGCCTAGGAAGATATTATTACTCGGCCTTAATTTTCTGGAGTTTGGCAAGAAGCTTTCAAAATGGGTCTATGAATATTATCAGTAATACAGTCTTTTATTCTTTTTCTTTTTTTCAATTCTTCTTCCATTTTACAAGTGTTTGTCTGCTTGGACTTCAATAACACTGAATATTTTTTTCAAATATCCAAATATCAACAAAAAGATCGAAATTGATCGGTGTACGTTATTTTTAAAGTACTTGCACAACCTTTATTTATCGGATAAGTGGAAGCTACTGAATAAGATATATCATGCTTAAGGTGGCTGCCTACTTTTGAACGTTCGATTTGAGCCCATGATGTGCGCGTGTTCAATATGAATATTTTTCTCGATTTTATTGAAGAACCATACACGTTTTGAGCTTCAAAAAATTTAAGAGTTTATTAGAACAATGTAAAAAATCTTTCTGTTTGTTTCGTGCTCAATTTTTACGATAATTTGCGCACCGTAGAACATGAAAAATTTTTTTTCCATTGTCTACAATAGTTTATTAAAACACCTTTTAACAGTATTTCATAAATATAGTGTAAGTTACGTGTTTAGAGAAAATTACTCATGTTTCTTCCTCAGTTTCGGTTTTATKATTTTTTTTTTTGTACAGAGCTTGATTTTCGCCATTTTTCTTCGAAAATTGTACAAACTCATGTCATTCCGGAGTGATTATCTCAAAAAGAAGCTCTGGACACCCCATTTTTCTTTGCATTTTTGAAATTAGCATTAAATTTCAGGTTAAGAAAGTTTCGATTTTTAATTTTCTGTTTGTTATTTACCAAAGGAGTCAGCCACCTTAATTTTAATTCGATCTGTGAGTTAACAGTGCCCTGACCTTGATCAACCAAGAGGTATCAATAAATGTTGTTACATCGATATCAAGATAATGGTATTTGAATATTAACAACATTTGAACATTAATAGATATAAAGAAAAACGAGTATCAATTGGCCCTAGAAAATAATAGAGTGACTTTCCTTCAAGGGCCAAGTAAAACCATTTTGTGGTCCCAACATTTGACCTAATATTTATGGAATCAAGTGTTGCGACCGTTTGTCATGGGTGGGTCAAAAAATTGACTAAACATTTTGTCTAAATGTTCGGTCAAATGTGGCGTCAAAATGTTCGGTCAAAAGTTGGGACCGTTTGTCATGGGTGGGTTAAAATTTTGGCTAAATTTTTTTTTTAAAGGTTAAATATTGGGCCAAAATGGTGACCAAGTGTTGGGTAATTGTTGTGTCAGATGTTAGGAAAATGCCTCTATAGGAAAAAGCCGCCGTTATAATAAAAAAACTACCGGAAACGAAAACAATTTTTTCAACTAAAAGAAAAACAGTAAAATGGGAAGCAGAACCAATTAGTTTAGCCAATAGAGGATTGTTATTTTAGATTATATCACTTGCTAGATTGCGAGCAATAATTGATGGTACATCTGTTTCAAAGTTTTTAATTACCTTCGGCACTTTTAGACTTTGGCTGTTTTCGACAATACATTTGAAATCAAACTTACTAATTGGACTAAATTCAGCTTCAAATAAAGTTTTGCTATCGATTACAATAGCTCAAAATTAACGCCATATTTTATTTTTTAAAAATCAGTGCAAAAATTTAAAAGCGCGCTTAAAATTAAACAAATCTCCTTTCTAGAAGTGGATGAAAAATAAATATAAGAATTATTCTTTATTTCAGGGTGTCCTTCCTTAGCAACGTCACATGGTTACATCAATTGTTCCAGCAATCCATGTCACGTGACCTGCCATAAAGGCTACTTTCTTTTTGGTCCAGAAACGATAATATGCTTCTACGGGCTTTTGGTGAACAGGCAGTTATCTAAATGTGGTAAGAAAGGATAGAACTCAACTCAATCGTGCTATTTATTTCTTCATGTTTGTTTATTGATCCTAAAACAGAAACGGCCAACTTACATTAAGTGGCCACGAGAAAAGTCCATAACAAGAAGTGTCCATCTGGTATTAGGGTGGCGTCTGATATGTTTTGAGAGTGAGGTATTTTTAGACAGTGCTGCACAAACAATCATATTCCTCGAAAATACATACCTTGCGCTTATTGCCCTTGCGAATATAGCCGGCAAAAGCAAAACAAGACGAACAGAACATAGAGAGACTGGGGCGAGTTA